TGGTCCAGGTTGCGGTAGTGCACTGGATGCGGGCGGCACAGGACCGGGCATTGTGGCAATCAATGGGGGAGGCCTACGTTCAGCAGTGGACGACCTATGGCTGACATGATAATGATGATGGTGAATTAAACATTGATATTTTCGATAGACATTCTCGCTATGTGTTTCCTCTCGTTTTAGTTTCCTTGGAAAATTTTATAACTATGTTCTTCAGACGTTGCTGCAGTGTAACCTCACGGTTATATTAACAATCTTACCGTAACATTGGTTAATCTTATCTCGGCCGGTCTCGAGCAATGTTTACACGAAGTGGGTTAACAGTCCGTCAGCGAGTTTGTTTTAGCGATCAGCTAAACGATTGTGCAATATGTTTGTGCGGAATCGTATTTGACATTAACGTGGCATGTTAAAAAAATCTGATTATTACATTTAAGTGTTGCCCGCGACTTTGTTCACGCAATATCGAGATAAAGCCTATAATATGCCAGTCTATGTCAGCTATCCTTCAGTGAAAGTTCAAAATCGTCCCAGCCGTATCAGAGAATACCCGGAACAAAAGCGACTTGCAGACAGACAGACAAAAATAAAAGCGATTTTCGTTATCAGCAATGCAAATATCATCTTCCCGAAATCTAGGATTTTTCCTTTTGATATTACAGACACTCCAATTTTATTATATGTATTATATAGATGTGTTATTTGTTATGTACTAGTTAATCTGAAAATATAAGGATTTACAGATCTCGCACACGTACAAGTTATTGAACTAGTGATGTACCGTTACTTAAGCGAGTCCGGAAGTCGGTAATTATCGATAGAACGTCGCGTTGCATATATCCTTGTTGACACCACTCTTCGTGTCCGGGAAATGTTATTGAGAACAAACTAATAAATGTCGAGTGTGGAAAACATTGAACACGCTAAGCACAAATTGCTTAGTTTTCTGATAAAAAATTCGGGTATTCTAAATATTTATATTAGGTTTATTAAGTTTATTCTGCTAATATTATTTGGTTCTTGCAATTTTTTGTAATTATATGAATTTTACAAAAGTTAAGTTTTGTTTTGGGACAGTTTATAGCATGACATGAAGAGTTAAGTGATGACATCACTTGAAAACATGTTTCGTAATCGATACTTTGAAGCGTTTTATTTAACAGATTAGCGCGTAATCCTTTTTATCATATAGTGGGATGTCACAGATAACTGTGTAAAACCTATAGTTATTGCTATATGAAGAAAAAAAAACTATAAAAAATGTACATGTTAACTTGTACTCTCTTGCTAAGATAATGTTATGAAATCTTACCCTAGACTGTCTTGACTAAAACTAGTTAGTGGACTTGTTCTTTGTTTAATTCGTATTGTTGTGTGTAAATATGTACTCAAAACATAACCAACTTGAAATGAAGCTGCCTTAGTTAATAAATGTATAGAATTTTAAATATAACGGCATTATCTTACTAATATTATAAATGCAAAAGTTTAAATGGATGGATGTTTGTTAGAGTTTACAAAATCTGCTGAAGGGATCTATATGAAATTTGGCATAGACGAGGACAGTCTGGAAGAACACATAGGCTATTTACTTTTGTTTTTTAATTCCACGCGGCAGGAGTCACGGGCAAAAGCTAGCTTATTATATTTAACTTTACGACTTATCAAATCCAAATTAATTTGTATAGTAAGATACTAATACGTCTAACCTGTATTCTTAACGATTTGAAAGTCAGTTACAGATATCGATATTTTATCGATAAGTAACAACACAACACTATTACAAGTATCAGTGAAAGTAGATTTACAAAGCGATTGTACTGCACGCAATAATTGATTACAAGCAATCATAAGAAGTTTTATATTGTTCTCTACACGATGGTAGTAACAATCTCACATAATTATTGTACAACAACCTATGCACTATTACCGTGGAGTTCCACTGCGTTGTTGCGGACATTATGCGCGGTTCACACTTGTCCAGTACAGTCGGTCTATAGCTCCATAACTGGTGCCAACAAGTCCATATAAAAATATGACTGGCGGGGCCAACTGTCCAACTGTACTGGCGAATTGTAAACCGGGTATTGTAGATACTTGTTTTACTTATTGGCGTGTCTTTTTTTTCATTGACTATAGGGACAATATGGCAAGTATGACAGTCGAATTCTACAGTTTAAAATTAAGAAAAGGTTTACAAATAATTATTGAATTGATAGTTATTTTTGCAAACGTCGATTCTAATAGATTTATATGCCTACAATATTTTAACCGCAATTTTTAAATAGTGGTTGGCTTTAACTGAAACATAAATCAACTTTTACGTACCTTTGTGAGGGGAAGAGTGCCCCAAGGATAAATGGTGGCGAGAATAGATTGGCTTGTGAAGTGACGGTTTAAACTTGCATCTTAACTTAAAAGCTTAAAACCCATTTAAAAAACTGAAAAAGTATTAGAATATTCAAAAAAAAGGCGTAATATCTCCTATCTAGACCTCTAGGAGTATCTAGACTATCTTGAATAACGATTTTTAAGATAAAATATTCTATTTATAAAAAAAATTTTTGAAATTACCGTGCTAGTAATTTTCAAATAACACTTTAGAATAAAAACAAATGTATTGTTTAAATATTTTTCTTAGATACTGAATTTTTATAAACATATAAAGAATTATGACTTAAATTAGCTTATTTTACGTAAGAAATGAAATTATTTAAGACATTACGTGCTTTGTTACAACTATGCTAACGTTACGTGATAAAAGCCGGCAATGTACTAAAAAAATGTAAACATACAAATATGTGACCTTTAACTCTGTTACGTCGAGTAAAACATGTCCGTTGAAAGGACGAGAACATTAAATTATTACGACATGAGCTACAATAATTATATTATTTAATTAGTAGAAAATTCAAGTCAAAAAGACTAATAACAACAATAAAAATTCGCAGAACAGAACAGAAGATAAAGCAAAACCAAATTTTGTGTAAAACTCTAAGACTGAACTGAACTATAAGTCATGTTCTCTTTCACTCCCTAACTATGTTATATCTTTCTTCTCTTTCATGTAACGAAATGTGACAAAAAGTGACGCGATTACGTGAAATTTGCCATAAAACGTATGTTTAATTATGTAGGACGTTAGTACGGAAACCTTAGGTTTATTTTTTCAAAAACCTAACAGTAGCCACATCGTCATTAAAACTGTTTCCTTGAAAGGGGGAAGACAGGTGGTCAGTGTAGTTTTTATTTTGTTTTGCCCCTAGCGTTTACAAAACGGTTGGATAACCGTTGCTAAATACGCTCAACGTGTTTATGAAATACACAAATTCTTGTTTGTTTACTATACGGAATCGAATCCAGAAGAAATAGGTAAAGGCCTGCTTTCTAACTTTACTAGCATTCGCCAGTGACTCCGTTCGCGTGGAATTAAAAAAATAAAAGTAGCCTATGTGTTCTTCCAAACTATCGTCTACATCCCTACCAAATTTCATGGAAATCCGTTCAGTCGTTTAGGCTACAAACACTAACAAACATCCATCTATCTAAACTTTCGCATTTACAATATTAGTATGAAATATGATAAAAAATCTATTCATAGAATTACTGTTACATTTCAAAAGGCAAATTATAGTTTTAAAAACTTGTTATAACAATACCGTATTTTTACAACTTCACCTTGACATTTTAAAATAACAATTATTAAGATTTAATATATAACATCGTTGAAATAAAACAAAATCCATTGTAACTCAAATTAATCTAATTTTTCGTGACATATATGAAAACATTTTTATTATCTCTATTCTTAAATATCAATAAAATGAGTGGCTTTTTTATTTAAAAACAATGAAACATTTCTATTTTTACCATCAACACCTTAAGACTTAACCCACATAAACTATTATCCTAACAATATTTAAAAACGTTTAGGACTCTTCTAAATAAATACATCCTTTTTATTTAGCTATGACGATATCCGGGTCATATTATTATATGACAAATTACTTATAACTGCCGTACTAGTCATCGAACTAAATATTCTTTTAGTACGAGCATAAAAATACATTTTGTGAGGGAAAAATATAATTTAATAGCGACAATGACAGCCAAATGGCATGTCTAGATTTTTTATAGTCAATTCTTAATTCAAATGGAAAGAAAAACGTATTTTTTCTGTTCAAAATTAAAGAGAAATCCCTAATCTAGTTTAAATCTTACTAGTAAATTTTGAAGAGTCGCTTGTTAGTTAAAATTTGGTCACTTCGATGCAATATTGTCTGTAATTAAAATAATACTGATTGAACATTCTTTCGATTTTCTACCACTTATATTGGGTTGCAAACGTGGTTCATCAAATATTTAGTGACAACGCCCTTTATCCCGCGTGGTCCCAACCTTCCTATTTAGTCCTACACCCTATTGCGCATGACACGTTCAGTCACTGAACCTGGACCTCTTGATGGAATATATTATCTGTCACGTAATTCTGAGGTCATTAACCATCTATATTCAAAATGAATTTTCTCACACATATTCTAAGGATATTTTAGAAATAAACCCTAGATACTTTCTTCAAAAACTGGATTATTCATAATTATTAAAAACTACCTTATAAATTATTTTATGAGGTAGATAAGATTTTCTATATAAAATTACGTTTTATATGACGATGTATCAGTTATTATGCACTCTTAAGATAATAAAATTATTTAGATTTGCTTCTTGTTCTTTTATCATAAATTTTCTCTCCTGGGAATTAAGATCTCGTGGGAACCATCTCGAGTCTATTTGTAAAGTGTTTCGCAAGAATCAGCCAACCTAATTTTGCCGGTCGAATTTAGGTCGTATTTTTCGCGTGAGCATAATTTATATGAATTCAACACGTGCCAAAAGTTAGTTTTAAACTTACTAATTGCTTTATATCACGTTTAGATCGTTAATTATTTAATAAAATCCGTGTAATTTAAAATTTTACCAGTAATAACGAATTTATAACGTACCTGCAAATGGATGGGGACCTTTTTCACAGGAGCGTTGGTCATTTTGAATCAATATAACACTAAATGCACAAAAACGTGTAAAATTTAAATACGTGCGTGTAGGCGGCAACGTAATTACGATTTTCGCGTATCACCAACAGCAGTACCACGCACAATACCGAAAAACACATATAGCTAGTGATTATTTTCATTGACTGAGCTCCCCTCCTTTGCGCATGTGTACAAACTCGCGCAGCCCCAGTATTGGACGATACAGTGTGGTGGAAACGGCGATTCTACTTTGATGTAGTTTATAAGATTTGACATAGATGGCGTGGAGTTACAAACCAATTTTAAAAAATAACAAGGTTTTTAAAAATTGGTATGGCACTTAGCAAATTGTATTTTTTTAATTTCTAAAACAAAAGCGTTGTTTTTATAATATGCAACATAATTAATAACATAATATGCATAAACTTTATTTAAAAAGCCAATAAATTATTTGTTAAAATGGAAAAGTTTGTGAGTCAATTTTCTAACTTTATAAACCTTTCTTACTTGAATAAAATCGAATGATTATTTTTGCTGCTATAATTACCGGACGACTAATCTTATTTCCACGTCATAACGGTAGATGGCGTTAAAATAAATTCAAGCAATCGATCATTACATTTGCGAACAGCAGCAAAACGACCCAAGTCAAGTCCCGACCAAAACATTCAATCGGGCCATACGTCGGGGTGTCGCCGATTTTTCGCGCCCGTTTTATTGCACGGGAATAATAATAGTAAAGACATTAATTTATATAGAAAAATCAATGTGAAGTGATACTGAGTGTATTGTTATTTAAAAATTCTGCACATCAATGCCCTCGCTACATCTGAAGCCTGGAATTACGGTGATGTATTGATGAATTTGATATTATCCAGCATATTTGAGGCTTTGTTGTAAAAATAGATACGAATTTTTAGTACAGACGTGTTGAGAAAAGAATGTTTGTTTTTCACAATTCATTTATAACGATAATTAAGAAATAAATAAAATAAATGTAGTTACGACCTATTTTATCTGTGTAACCATCTTTGTTATTTAAGAAAACATTTTTTTATTGATCTCATAATAAGTTCGTAAACGAATTACTATTTCTTTGTCTATTTTTTTGAATTTGTATCAGTTAAAATATCTTTGATAATGTTTTTGATACGCGTGATTTTATTTTTATTTTACGCGTAGGTATATTTAGATGCGACATAAAGGACGTTTATTATTATCTGTAATAAGATTTCGCATTTTAGCTCTTATCTGACATTTTAAGTGCTTTTCCATCAGAATTAGTTGATAACGCACTCCCGCTTACCAAGGGCATAGTTTTACCTTGTCCTTTTTACTTATTTCTTGAATAGTGTACGCAATTTATAAGGGACGAACCCTATACGCGTTGCATTGTCAAAGTGTAAATAAAAGTAGAAATAAATTAAGATTAAAAGTAAAAGTAATTTTAATGCGCGAATCTTTATTGTCGCTTATAGAATTTTTCACCAAAACTTTCTCAAAATATGTTTAGTTGTCAATAAAAAAATGTGGTATAGGGGATATCTTGGGAAACTGGCTGGTTAGAAAAATCTGTTTCCGTCTCTTTCAGTCTCTTCGAAAAATATGAGATAGCAATACTCTTGTACGGATATTTCACGGATAGAACTTGATAGATTCCTTTTCATAAATGGTTCAACTTTAATACCCTCCTGTTTAAACCCATTCAGGGGAGACAGAAATAGCGAATGAAATTTAGTTTTGAGCATTTTCGTAAGGGTGAGTTTCGTCTATTTTTATATTCTCGATAACATTAAAACTACTGTATTTACTTATTATTACGTTAATTATTATAATCGACCTGTTGCTAACTTCAAGAGGTAGGGTTGCCAACTTTTAGTATTAGTAGAGGGCCAAAAAACCAACGACAACTTCGTTTTCATCCGTCTAAATTAAAAAGGAAAAGTCAAATTCTATTCATTCCGGCTATTATATGTGTTGTATCTTTTTCACTTATTTAGTAAAAAATTGTGTAATAATGAAAAGGTAAAATGTAAAATAAGGGTTGTTCATTAATATTTTACGAATTTTAATGTAATGTGTACATATAAGGGTTTGAATGCCAGAGGCAACCCTAACGGTAGGGTGCCGCTTGCCCTTGAACTGCCCGTGTTCCGGATTGATTTTTACCCGCTTGGTAAGGATAACGCCTAGCAACCATTTATTTCGCATTATTGTAAACCATCTTAAATAGAGTACTACAATCCTAGTTTAGATAAAAACTTTTTTTTGGAACCAACATTAACGTTAGAATATTATATGTTTCAAAACCGTGTTAGACGATAATTTGTAATCTATTTCATGTATCGATACTAATATTATAAAGAGGAGAGATTTGTATTTTTGTATTTGAAATAACTCAAAAACTACTGGACCGATTTCAGCAATATAAGCTTTTTTATTATTCAATTTCACGTAGGCGAAGTCACGAGCGACAGCTAGTAAATAGATATTTTATAAGTACTTAAGATTTCTGTACATTTCAATGGGTTACGGCTGATTTATCCAATGGAATAAACCCATAATGGGTTCATGTTCTAACCCAATCGGGCCTCAAGAAACTGTTCCAATATAAACAGCAAACAAGTGTATTGAAACAGTTAATCCGCTCCCTTTTTGGCAAATATTAAGAGTGTTTCAGGCAGTTCATATCCATAATCCTATTATCTATACAATTCACACATAGAGATAGAGAATAAGCTGTAAAAAACAATAAGTTAATTCTCTTATAGACTTGTCAAAGTTAAAATAACCTCGAAATTCAAAATTATGAAAAGAACGTAAAACTTTATTTCAAATTAGACAAAACACAAATTAATAGATTATTATATTTATACACAGATAATAGAAAAGTTACTATAAGGTCTTAGGGCCTGTCCCACCAGTAAATTGTCTGATAATAATCCAACGTGTAAAATAATTGATGGTAATACCGGATTTTGTTACCTTATCTGACAGTAAAATTTTAAGCTTTGTGAGCCTCTATCAGCCAGTGATGGGACTGGCCCTAAATATTTCGTTCAGGTTGTCGTTTTTTAGACTACGATTCGCTTCCACGGTATCGTCTATCAATATTGGAATTTCATTTTGTACGCATGCGCAAATTCTTATTTGCGTTGCGTATATCAGTAGATGTAAGCCCAAAGCTACGACAATTTTACTAATAAAAAAGAAAACAAAAAGCACAAACTATATAATACGTGTTAAACCTTTGCACTCTTCTTAAGGTAATGCTGACGTATGGATATAAAAAATTCAGTTTAAAATATAGAGTGTTTTAAACAGTGGTAGAGTCCGCTTTAACATCTTCGCACGAATGGGCCGACTCGCCCGGTGTAATACCACGACCACACAGAAGACAGGCACATTCCGCGTTTCGTCTGATGAATGTGGTGCCGGAGTCTAAACTTTAGTCCCTGTTCCTTCATACCCTTCTTATAAGAAAAGGATGGGAAGGAAATGTGGATTTTATGGTGCAGGAGTCGCGTAGTAAGGGGAAATATCCTCTTTATGCGTGTCTCCTCCGTCGGTTAAGGGTAGACAACGCATCCGCTATTGCGGATACCTATGGGCAGCGGTCGTTTGCCTCCTTATAATATAAAAAAACATGTTTGTAAAATGTTTGTTACGAGTTCTATAACATAAATTATCAGTATTGTTAAAAGCTATATCGTGTTACAATCTTATCTCAATGGCCATCAAAGAGGTTGTTTTTATTAATTTTATTGGTTGCAATGGATTAAGGGGTTTTTTTCTATTTTAATTAATAAAATAAACTGTTGCTTGATAGAGTTAGCTGCAAAAACAAATTACATTTTTTTTCTAAATTAAGACTGCTCGCCGCCATGGCATCATGGGATTATCTTCCAGAACTTTCCTCCAATCTGATTTCTGCGAGGGCCGATTTGAAGACCGATAATTTCGCACATCTTGATAGTTAATATTATACAGTTTCAAATTTTTTACACAATTCCCAATCTATCTATACATATAATAAAATTGCAGTGTCTGTATGTAATGTCAAAAGAAAAATTCCGGTTCGGGAAGATGATGTATTTGCGTAGCTGAAAACGAAAATATTAAAAAAAATTGTCTGTCTGTCTGAAAGCCGCATTCTTTTCGGGTAATCGAAACGGTTGGGCCGATTTCGACCGCACTTTTACTGGAGGGTAGCTGACGTAGACGGGCATAATATAGGCCATTTTTTTTAAATTCCGCGTTGTCGAAATGGTGACCGGACCGCTATCTCTGAAACGGGTGGACCGATTTGGACGGAACTTTGACTGGAAGGAAGCTGCTAGAAGGTAGATGTACGCGGGGATGTGTTAGACGACTTTTAAATCCGCGTTAACAAAGTTTGCGGGCGATAGCTTGTTTTTAAATGAATAAATATGTCTCCATTTTAGGACAAAAATGGCAACATATTATAAAATATGTATAAACATGCATTTTTCTAGTGGTAACATTCTTGTCACAATGTTTCAATTGTTTTCCGCACAGGATATGACTTGTCCTCCATAAGTTTTAACGGATATTGCTCTATCGATCGAAGCGCAATTTCAAGTTTAAATTGCTTTGTAGAGAGGATGTTTTCTAGTTTAGCTTTTAAATAAAACACTAGTATGAAGTAAGTTTTACTTAAGTACTAACACATCTAGTTTTAAATGAGACTTATGTATCTGTGTATACAAAATGTCATCTCCGTCAATCTCTATAAAAAAGACGGAGATGTCAGTATGTTTTGTCTCGCATACAAGCCCATCGTTAGACGAAAACAAAAGATTGTATTGTCACCTCTTTCTAGAGTACTTTTTAGTATGAAAATTTGTTAGAATGTTTATCCTAATATTATTACTTTGTTCCGTTTTTTGTGTTATTTTGAATGAAGATTAATGAACCGGAATAAACAATGTGTATTCGCTTCATTTCGTTCAACGGAAGTTTTTCATTAACACTTGACTGAACAATTTATTATAATTGTACGGCAGAATTTTATAATTACGTTACTAAGGGCCTGTCCCACCAAATTGTAAACTGTCTAATAACAATCCAGTGTAAAATATGTGATGGAAATAACGGATTCTGTTCCCTTATCTGACTGTGACGACATTTTTTTCTGTCTGAGCCTT